GGTGTCATGGTTCGGAGCAGATGAGCTGCAAAAACTACCCCCTTAAAAATGGCCTGTGGAGAAGCTAAGTTGGTATTGATCACTGGAGAAAGAGATTGCCTCTGGTTTGGGGAGGAGGCTCAAGGAAGTTGAGTTCATCTTGAGCAAGATGGGTTTGAAATGGAAATATTGGTCTTTGCAGTACATGGGGAAAGCAGTGAGAAAGTTGGTAGGTGTGGGGAAAAGGATCCTGCTGGAGCATTGCTGGGACAAGGCTGTGGCTGGGTGAGAGAGGTTGGATCAGCCATAACTTGCACAGGTCATCATTCTCCATGGCCATGGCATGGCTCCTGCTTGGGCTGTGGGGCTTGGCAGTGTCCCTGTAGCTGCATCTTATCCTGGAGATGTGTGGGAGATCAAGTCCTGCTTCAGCTTGCCTTGCAACAGGTGAGCTTCTCTGTTCCTGGGAGCAAAGTCCAGCAGCAGGAGATTTCCTCTCTAGGGTATCCCAGTAATGTCCTGGTAATCATGTCTGTGTTTCCCCAGGCCCGTGGCCAGCCTAGCAATCAGTAACTGGATTTTCAATTCCTACCCTCTTCTGGGTAGCAGAGGTTGAGGTGTGGCAGCAGTGATCACATCAATCTCAGATCCCTGACTAAGGCACCGCCCGAGTGCCTGTGCTGCTCTGTGTTCTTGGATCCCAAGCCTCTCTTCTGCAGAAGGGATGGGTTTGGATTTCTTGCTCTTCGTGGTGCTGCTGAAGTTATTGTATTTGCACAGAGCCAATTCCTCTGAGATGATGATCACTCTTCTGTTTAAGCACAAGCTGCCAACTTACAGAATTAATTGCCAGTGATCTGCAGTAGCCCTTGACTTGTCCTAGAATTTGCTTTAATAAAAGAGAATAGATCTTTAATGAAAGTGGAAGGACTTGTGTATTTCTCTGAAAATACAGAGGGGCTTGCGAAGCCGGGCTCTCAGAAGGCAGGACAGCTTTTAAGTTTTGCAGCCCAAATCTGACCTCTGTGTACTGCAGTTTTTGATTGCATGGTTCCACAGATGCTGCTTGGCTTGATGCTGCCTTGCTCATTGTGCATAATTGATCTGTATTTGTAGTTGTTAGGTGGGGTTTTCATCTTCCTTTTTGCAGCTCTGAGGTTGTGCTTTACTTGTGTGCTTAAGCCCTTCCCCAAGGACAGAAACACAACTTGTCCAATAGGCTCCTCTGTGGTGCTGCTCATAAATGTCTGAGCAGCTGCAGTTCATGGTGTGTTTGTGGGAAAGCAGCTCTGTAAATGGGGAGCTGAGGCATGCACAAGGGTACTCAGATAATTCTGGGTGCTCTTTGGGGAAGCTGCCAGGAATTCTCCCATCTTAATTTCTGATGTCCATGAAGTGCAGTTCTGTGGCTGAGAGCTCAGCCCATGTGCAGACCTGATCTTGGGTCTGTCTTTCTGCAAGGGTCTGGCAATAAAGGATGTGAGAAGTTTATTTTAGGGTTTGATTTTGTAGCAGCTGTAAAAAAAAAAAAAAGGCAGGAATCACTTTTTTGTCAACTTTGGTTTGCTGCTCCTGAAACTCTATCTGGCTTTTATACCTTATTTAATACACATTAAAAAAAAAAAAAAATCTGCTGGAAAAAAACCCACCCAGGTAGAGAGTTTTTTCAGTGCTGTCATTAGGTGAGTGCTCCTGCTGTGAAAGGAGTATGCTGTGACAAAATGAGGGGCAGGATTAGGTGAATCATCACCAGGCAGTGCTAATGAAACCTTGTCCTCCCTGTGGAGCCTCGGTGGGGAGGCTAGGCTTTGCGGGCAGGATTTGTTGGCTGGCTGACACCGGTGACCAGGGGAGCCGTGTGCTCTGCCAGTGGCCCGAGAGCAGGTATTTATTTGCTCCAGTCAGTGCTTCTCTTCAGGCTTGTTCCCAGCCTGCCTTCCAGTCCTTGCCTTAGCGGTCTTCATGGACCACTCCTGGTCTGAAGCTCTTCAGCTTCCCATTCCACTTCTGGTCTGTGATGTTGTCTGGGTTTCACATCCTGCTCCCCTGTGTCTGGTAGACCTGCTCCATTCTGGCTTCTTTGTTCCTCACATCTTCTCATCTGGCTGATGTGACCAGAGGGTACTGCTGTCCCTGCCAGTGGTGGCATTGTTCGTGTCCCTGCTTCCCAGCCAGTGTCTCTTCCCTCCCTCCCATGCTGGCCCCCGTCTGAGCCTCTGTGCTGTGGGGCCTGGGGGCATTCCTGGCTGATGCTCTGCAGAAGCTTTAATGGTTTTCCATTTAACTGTGATTAACCTGACAGGCAGTGCTTTGCTTATTGCAATCTGGAAGAGTGGTGGTGGCAACATTTCTAACTTTGGGATGAATCAGCACTAACAATAAAGCAGGAAACAAATACCATTTCTTTTACAAGGCGACAGACAGCCGGATGTTTTCCTCTGCCAAAGCATCCATCCTGCTATTGGTTAAGATGTAGCTGGTAAGGTGGGAAGGAGAAATAATTTCTCACTCATAGAAAAAAGGTAAGTCATAAGTCTGACTGCCAGTGGGTGGGATGCTGAATGACAGAGGAGGCTGTTGCTTCCTCCTCCTCCTGATCCCACAGTCTGGTTGTTAGTGCACAGACCTGTCACATTGGAGCCTGGATGTTACCAGAGTGTATTGAATCCCTTCAGGCAGACAAATTTTGGGCTGGTGTCTAATTTAAAGATTCTCCAGAATCTTTCCCTATAGATCCTCTGTCTTAGTAGGGAAGAAGAATTAATGATAAATTAATGAAGACTTTTACGTTGTTCTGAATTTGGGGATAATTTTAGGCCCATACTTAACCTTGTGATCTTTCAAGCTTTTGCCTCTTTTAATAATTACCTGCTTGTATTCCTGATGGTTAAACTTGCCATATAGAAATGTTGTGTTGATGAATTCCTCAAATTCTGGTTTGACCAGAAGGCAGGAGGTGTGAACACACTTGTGCTCATGGCTTTCAGGACTAGTGCTGAGAATTCAAGCTGTGCCAAGGGGCACTGCCCACCCTGCAGCTGGTGGCTCTCAGCACCCAGCATAGGCTCTGTGCACATCTGGGAGGTGCTGGGCTCTCAGAGGTGCTCCTGAGCAGGCACTCTTGCTGTCCTGCTTTGCTCAGGGGTGCATGTCCCCTTGATCCTTTTTCCTCACAGAGATGCTGGTGAATATTTTTGAGCGTTTTGCCCTGTTAGCAGGAAGGAGTGGGTGAATGGCTGGGAAGCTCCCTTGGCCCCAGCCTGGCTGTTGTGCTTCCTCTTACAGCTCTGTGGCTGCCCAGGCTCTGCCACAGAAGAAGTTGCATTGCCTCTGGTGGCATCTTTGGGCTCACTTTTCAGTCATCTATCAGGGAGCAGGTAGCCAGGGGTAGATTGTTCCCTGTTTTTAAAACTGCTGCCCCTGAAGAGCTGCTGCCTGGCTGGACAACCAGTGTGCTGGCCTTGTTCAATTGTCTGTGTTTCTCTCCATCCCTTTTATCTCCTGTTTGCATCATTTTTCTCACTTAAATGCACCCTTTCTGTGGGCCACAAAGGCTGGTGTGAACACAGCCTGCAGCAAGGGGATCCTGCTGAGCTGGCAGGCAGGGGACTTCCTAGCCTGGCATGTGAAAGTGCTGGGGCTCTGGCTCACCATTACTCATCCAGCCTTCCTGGGCTGCCTTACAGCTGTCCTGGGGGTCTGCCTGGGCAGATTTCCTCACTTGCTGTGATGGCTGACCCCTTGCTCAGTGAAGTGCTTCTCAAAGATGCAGCTATGCTGGGGTACTGCTGCAGGCTGGCAGACACCAAGAATGTTATTTTTCAGTCTAGCAGGCAGCTGTTTCTGGTTTCTCCCTTTTGACCTAACCCTCAAGTATCATTCTAGCTTCACTCTCTCTCACCTGGCAGGAAACTTCACCAGCCTGGGCTGGTGGGACCTCAGTGCTCAAGTCAGGGCATTGTATGCCAATGTCTCTTTGCATGGGCAGCACCCCTCTTTATAATCTTCTTTTCTTTTTAACTCTCTTTTTCCCCATCTTCCTCCTTTTCTTCATCACACAAAGTGTATAAAGCCTAAGTTTACCTTTTTCCCACTGCTTTGCTTCCCCTGCTATGGTATGCTGCTGTGGGTTAGGGTCCCTTGGATGGTTCCAGCTGGCAATAATTTGGGATATGGACATATTGGGACCTCTTACGAAGCTGTGAGTGCTTGGGGTCCCTACTGAGGGCAGAAAGCTGAGCTGCTGGACTCGAGGTGGAGCATATGCCAGGCCATGCACATACACTGGAAACTTGCCCAGGGCAGGATAATTATGGGAGGCAGTGTTTCCCCAAGTGGACCGTGTGCTCTTGCTTGCTAAACAGTCTTGTGATTAGTATCTTATTTAAGAGGATTTTAGGACATGTGCTGCAGTTACAGAGTTTTTTCAGAAGTAGGGGAGAGGTTAGGAGTATAAACTCTGTAAAGGCTCTTTTGTGTTTCCAGCAAGGGTCACCAGGTTATTGCAGTGCATCACTGCTCTGTGTCAGAGTAGGCAGTAGGTTTTGCTATGGATGGTTGAATGGTAGAGGGATCCTTGAAGGGCTTTGCACATGTTTTTGTACAGGCTGCATTCTTAAGATCTCCTTAGGGGCCTGTAGCTCCAGCACTAAGGGTGAGTTCTTCTGCCCTGATGTCAGCATTTCCCAGCATTACTCCTAATGCCAGGAGCTTACCCTGGCTCCTGGCATTAGTCTCTGGTGAGTTCTGTAGCCAGCAGGTGTTCACCAGAAGATTTTGCCTTCAAAATGAGGCTCTGTGTGGGGATTTACTCAAGTAATGTTTCAAGGTGGCAGCAGCATAATTGTTGGCCTTATTCAGAATACACAGTGTGGACACAGCACTAGCTGCATGCTCTGGGTGTTTCTGTGCCACTGCTGACTTGCTGGGTGGTCTTGGCTGGTGGTTGTAGTCTCCTTTCCAGTGGTTTCTGATCAGTCTGATGTGGCTGTCTAACATCCTTGCCCTAATTTCTTTCCTAGGCTAGAGAACTCAATTTAAAGGGACATGGGAGCATGAAGAATTGCATGGAGAGAACAGATGTGCTGTATCTCCTACAGCTCTTACCTGGCAATCTGCTGCTGCCTGGAAGGGATTGACAGGAACCTCTGTGGACAGCAAAGGAACCTGGAGATGAAGGTGATGACCATGGCTCTTAATCTGTTTTTTTCCCCTGCCCCTTTTATCACTTCCATGTCTGCAGCAAGAGCAGGGCTGCTGCAGCGTGACAAGGCCACATGCCTTGTTGAGGCATGGCTGTTTGCACTGGAGCTACCTCGTGTTGCAAGCAGAGCTGGAAGGATAGCAAACAAAACAGGCAGAGTTCCCTGATACTCCCTTAGCAAATATCCTATATTTCTCTTTTAAAGCAAAATAAGACATTTATTCTGCTTCTTGTGGGAGCCCTTGTAGAAGCTGCCATGTATTGGCTGTGCACCAGAGATAAGCGTCTGATATCTAGTGTATATTCTGACTTGCATAAAATGAATGTGTACTGGGGTTCATTTTGGTAAAGCTTTCCCTAGAAACTCTTTGGGGACATTGCCTTTGGCTCTAGGTTAGAGTAATTAGCTGCCTACTTACACAGCTGACCTCTGCTGATCATGCCTGAAGTGCTGCTGTTGGTGGTGCTGCTACTTTTCCTATCACACTTCCCTACTGCCATCCTGCCCCTTATCACAGCACTGCAGTCCTTTGGCTGTTGCCCTCGAGGATTATGAGCATCATGTGAGCAGTGACTGCTGCTGATGCTGGGACCTCCCTTTTCTCTTGTGCATGGAAAAGCTAACTTGCTAGGAAACACTTTTAGAAGCAACTGCAAATATAAATATTGGGTTTATGGCTCTTTTAATGCGTGAAGAAGGTTTGGAAGGACCTCACTGTATAGCTGCTTCTCTAAATATTTAACTTACTGGCATCAAGAGTGCCAGCTGTTGCCCCTTACTTCCTCCTCTGCTGGAAACATGCTAATGTCCTCTTCTCCACTTAAAACCTGATCTTCAATATGGAAAATGCACCACCCTTTCTTACTTTCTGGCTGAGCAACACTTCTCTCTCCCAGTGTTGTGTTACCTTTAGCATTGCAAACTGTAACACTTGGACAAGGATGGTGGAGTTCCAGCAGCCTGCTTGCCTAGGGTCTGCTGGACTTCTAATCCCGAAGAGGGCAGAGAGCAGCCAAAATCTGCTCAGGGGTCAAGACAGCAGTACGGAGTCTGGGGAACACTGGCAGGAGTGGGAGTGCTCTGGTAGGTGAGTAGAAAAGAAAAAGCATAGCCCTTTGCCTTGGGTGTCTCTGGTAGCTGCTCTTTTTGTGGGGAAAGAAGAAAACTAAGCTGGAGACAGCTTGATTTCTGGTTAGGTAGGATTTGACTGGAGAAAAAAGGATTAAAGAAGCAGATCAGCCAATCCTCTGCTGTGAAACTTCTTGTTTGATAGTTGTACAGAAATAGAGTTTTTCGTCCTTGTTCCTCTGCTGGAAGTCTGCTCACTGGACAAAGATATGACTTGGGGTGTAACGGCAGGTGAGCTGCTGAGGTGGCTGGATCTCATGTAGATGTGGGAGCAGTCCTCTCTGAGGCTGTGGCAGCACAGGGCACACCCACAGATAGGCAGCAGGGACTATGAAAGGCCTTGACTGGGTGCCTGCCTTTGGGACAGCTGAAACCCAAGGCCAAGCTGACCTTTCAAACTCAGATAACACTTTTTGGGTGGAGATATTCCCTCTCTTAATGAGCATTGGTTGTACTGAAGTGTCACTTTTTGCTTGTGCCAGAGCAAAATCTTGAGCCCCTTTTGAAATGCTCAGAAGTCTTCCTTGTCAAACAGTCAAACCCAGCCCTCTGTTACTAAGTCTGGTTTCAGACTAGGGAGACCTGGTTAGGCCTGGCTTGCAAGGCTGCTGGAGGAGATGGATATTTGAAAATCAGCAAAGTGATATATTTGGTCTGTAACATCTGAATCTGTGTCCAGCCTCTTCTCAGCAGTTACATTGTTGTATATGTTAATATCTGAAGTGGAAAAGGGAATTTCCTTTGAAATAGGGAAGTAAAACCAAAAATAGGCGCACAACCCCTTCATGCTGTGCCTGCGTGAGAGCCTCTGGCTCTCTCCCGCTTTAGAGCGGGGCAGAGCTTGCCTGTTGGAGCAGAGGTTTGTTGTGTGTTGGGCACAAACAGGCAGAGGAGAGGATAGGGATATGCTTTGATGTGTTGTGTCCAGGTTTAGGGATGGTTTTCCAAGGTGGCTGTCTAGGCAAGTGAACACCAGCAACAAAGCCTTCGACCATGTACTGATATAGTTTCCCTTCAGGATAATGGGTTGATGCACATGGAATGGTACTGCATAAGATTAACAGCACAGTTAATTCTACTTGTGCTGAAGTGCAGCGTGAACCCATCTGGTTGTTTTGGCTGCAGTTTCATGTGTGCTTTGGAGGAGTCCCACCAGTACTGTCAGTTTTGGGCAGCTCTGTCAGGAGCTGTGTATTGGTGTATGTGGCTCTGTGAACTCTTTCCACACTGCTACCCCCTCTGTTTCTGTGTACTGGTGGCTTGTCCTCTCTGAGGTCCATGCTGTGGCAGGTGACACTCATCTCACACACTGCTTTGCACTTGAAGTATTTTGTGGCACTCATGCACAAGCTCTGAAATGCTGGGGTGAGCAGAGGCCATAAGCCCAGAACAGGCACTGCATGCAGTGGATCTGGGAGAGATGGGGGGCGGAAAGCTGACCAAAACTGAAGATAAAGGGAGGACTTCCAAGAAGAAGGGTTAGTGGAGGGTGAAAGGAGAGCTGGTGGTAGGATCTCACCAAGGCAGGAAGGCAGCTTCTGGCTGCACGTGGGGAAAGGCCACAAAAAATTAGGGCATCCGCTTGTGCTGTGTGGATGCTGGAAGGGATGTGAGGGGCCTTAGGGGAAGATTTCCCAGGAGGAAAAGGAGAGTCTCAGAGATGCAGACAGTAGGGAAGCTCCCATTTTCTCATGGGTAGCACCTCCAGCCTCCCTTCCCTGCTTCACACAGCTCTGTGCATTGCTGGACTCTGAACGCAGCCCTTCACGAACCACCGTGCTTGGCGATGGGCGCTCAGCGCCAGCGCCGCTGCTCGGCGGGGCAGAGAGCAGAGAGCGGAGCCCAGGGCAGAGAGCGGAGCCCGGGGCCGCTGCTTGGCGGGGCCGGGGCAGAGAGCGAAGCCCAGGGCAGAGAGCGGAGCCTGGGGCCGCTGCTCGGTGGGCTCGGGCAGAGCAGAACACGGGGCTTTCATCTGCCCTGGCAGCAGCAGCGTCGTGGCCACGTCCAAGGCTCCGGGGAAGACGGTGCCTCTAGACGAGTGTGTGGGGAACTTCTGCTTTGCTCCCCCGCTCTCACGCAAATGATTTTTCACCTCTCTGGGCCATAATCTGCCGCGATCTCTGAAAGAGCTCTGATGTTCAGTCAGCTTTTAAAGACCTCCCAAAAATGGCATGGGAGGTTTGCTGCAAGTTTGTGAAGCACTGGTGTTTCCTCTGTTTGAGATGCCTCCAGATAATGCTGTACAGAGATCCAGACAAGATAAAGAACCTATGAACAAGAGCTGGCTTACAATTTTTTGCCTTGTACTTTGGGGAAAATACCCTTAAATTGCTGTTCTAGCAGACTTCAGAAAATATTCATCAGGCTTATGCATTTTAAGTAGTGATTTCTATATTTGTTATTTTGGAGTGAGGAAGAAAAATTCAGAGCTAATGCCATGTGAAAGCAATTTCCCTTGACAATATACAACTCTGGCCTATATGCGTGTTGGACAACTTATGAAAAAGCTTTTATTCCTGAAATGTCACTGTATTATGAATGCATTATTTCTTATCTCAAAAATAGATGAGGTTATGTATGTAAATATATAAGTACATGTATTCATTACATGTGTGAGAGTACATGTTTCAGTGGAACAGAACCACTTTAGCTGAATTGGCCTGATCCTTCAAAAATAATTAGAAAAAAGCCCCAAACCAAAATAACACAAAAAGACCAGTGAAATGCAAATTAAAAATCCTAAAATAGTTTATGACAACTTTGCTAGGCTGCTCTGTTTTCCTTTGCTGTAATAATAAAGTGGCTCTTCCTACATGAGGAGTTATTCTAACCAGCATACCCAGGGCTTGAGGATTCTCTACCAGTTTAGCCTCAAGGGATACAGCATTACAGCATGAGGAGGGAAACAATATTGTGTGCCTCTTGTCAGGAGATATCCAGGACTTTCTACCTTCAGATACCTGTGCAAGCTTAAAACACAGTATGGTAGCAGCCAAGTTCCCATCCTGTTAACCTGGAGGCGAGTTTCTGGAGAGGAGAGTAAGGTACATTTCTGTTAAGGATCCTTTTGGCAGGAAAAGGAAGGAAAGGGAAAATGAAGGGAAGATCAACTCCCATGTGAGCTTCCCATCTGAAGTGTTTGAAAACTTGTCTCTTAGCAGTGTACTGGAGTGAAGGTACACAGATTTGTATAAATAAAATAAATTAGTAACTTTTAACCTGAAAGTTGGTCTGAGCCAGATGAAGTTGTTTAATGTTCAGTGAACTTTAAGCCCCGTGCTTTTCCTGTTGGGGCTTGGATTGGATGTTGAGCAGCAAAAAGAAATGGCCTTGTGTTAGAGGTGGCATCAGATCCTCTCCCAGTCCTGAGCACAGTGGGATGTTGTGGCACTGAGTGAGATCACTGCTGTTGGAAACACCCAACAGCTCTTGCTCTAAAGCAGTTAGGCATGGTGTCCCCCCAGGGTGTCATGGGAGTCACCCCAGCAGCTGGCAGCCACCACCAGCACGTGGAAAATCTCTGCTGGGTGTCTGCAGCCTCCTTGTCTGCACTGGGGTGCATCCATTCCAGGCATGACAGATGCCTGACTTCTGTGTCTGGGGAGAGTTCCCTTTATGAAGGAGGAAGTCTGGTGTCTCTGTGGCCAGGTGGCACTGGGTGGCCAGAAGGAACTGCGTGTGCTTGTGAGCAAGAGTCCAGCCCTTGGCAATAACATCCTCCTTCCCTTCCTCGGTGCATCATCCTTCCTCACTTATCACATCCATCCTTCCAGCAAAGGGCTGGCTGCTTGTAGAAGCAGAAGAGGACCTTGCATTGCTCTGTGAGGCTCAGAGAGCTTTTTTAAGTCTTAAAGCCTATTTCTGAGACTGCAGAAACATGTTGTTCTAAAGGCAGTATGAGAGCCAATATTGAATGGAGGAGATATGAAAAACATCTGGTGCCTCCTTTTCTGCTTTCAGGAGTAACTTCTGTTTTTGTTGGAATTATCTGTCTAGATCTCCAAGTCCCACGTACATAAAATGTCTTAAATACCAGAGGGCAGAAAGCTACCTCAAGGAGTGGTGGTGTGGTTCAGATCCATGATGGATCCATCCACTTGTCATCTGCAAGCTCTGCTGCCAGACTTGGTTCTGAAGTGCTGACTGTAGGAAGTGAGTGATGTGTTTGGGAGCAGGAGCTGGGTAGTGCTTTCCAGGCCTTAACCTGGTTTTCTGGTGCTGAAGAAAGCAAGCTAAAAACTCCAGGAGGAGGTAATAAAAGACATTAAAGTGTCCATTATTGTCTCCTTGGCCTCTCAGGACCCCAGTAAGCTTTACATGTGTTTCAAGCATGGTGTTTTCCTCCCTCCAGCAGCTGTGTAGAGACTGGTGTTTCAGACCAGTTCATGTCATGCCCATAGCAACACTGATCTATCACTGGGATGCTGTCAGGGTATGAAAGTGGGGAAGAAAAAGGGAATTCTTTGGCTGTGATGTATGTACACTGTGGAGCTGCCAGGTGGGTGGCATGCTCTTTTTGGGTGTTTACAGCTGGAGTTGGTGCTAGGCTTTGCCAGTCCTCCATCCCACCAAAGAGTGGGGATTGCACATCAGAGGCACCTGTTTGTTCCTGCAAAGTGTTCTCCATGCTGGATCCTTAAGTGGAGGCCATAATCTTGGGTTTGGGTAGGAGGTACTGCTAAACCTGCTTTTCTTTCCTCAGCATCTGGGAGGATGCTGAGGAAAGAAAATAGCAAGGAGGTTTCAAATGCCAGCTTTCTCAGGATGGTTGCATTAATGTTTCCTGTTCTTCTAAATAGGTACATTAAACTTTGAGGGTGGAGGAGTGTCTTAAGCTCTTTAAATATCTTTGAATATTTCTAGGCGCCTACTTTTGTGCTGTGCATTTGTATTGCCTATGATTTATAAAATTGAATTGTACTTAAGCAATGTTGCTTCCCTGGCAATATTTTTTGGGCTTAATGACAGATATATTTGAAATGCTGATATAGGGGCATAGTGTTCCAAGAGAAATGTGTTTGAAAAACAGGGCAGTACTTGCTGTTACTGAAGTTCAGCCACACCAAGAGCTCCCTGTGTGAGGAGGTGACTTGATGTGCTTTGGCATAAGATATTTGACATCTGCTACTGCAGGTACTCTGCCTTTTGAGAACCTGGCTGCTCCTTCAACAACAAGTGACAACAACCCAGGATCATGGGGTACATTGATTCCTGCATATCTGCTGCCTTGGCTGCTCTGCTGCAGCCTGATGCTGAGCTTGGACCTGGCTTTCTCAACAACTTGAGTTATACCTGGCTTTCCTCTGGTTGCTTCAGTATTAGTTTAACCAGTGGAAATGGTGATGTGAGATAGAAGTGGTATCAATTAAGCTTTCCAATTGCTGTGGTTATGGAGACTAAAATCAAGTGGTTTTGATTGTGGAAAAACATGGGGTTTTTTCCTGCCTCCTTTCTTATCAGAGACAAAATAATTAACTCTAATTTTGAAGTTTCTATTTGTCCTCCATGCTTCAAGTTCCTTGCGTAGAAAGGATTGATTTTTGATACTTTGATTTTTGCTGGATAAATAATCAAACTGCTTTTTACATTTTTGTTTTTATAATTTCTCTGGTAGTTATTTCCTTTGCTGGGTTCTAGTGGATGTCCTTTCTAGTGCTCTCTTAGTTGCCTCTAGTTGCCTGTCTCTCAGGTCCTGCCTTTTTTTCACCACCTGATACTTTTTGATAAGCAGTCTTCACAGATGTAGGTGTCATTGCATACAGATTTCTTAGTGAAAGCCAATTTATTTCAAATGTAACACAGGAAGTGTGATGCTTAACATGCAGTAGTTTGACTAGGGCTTTCTGAAGTCAATGGCAAAAACTGACACTTTGCTTCTGTCTTCCAGTGAAGTTGGTGTGGTAGAACACTGCTGCTTTTTCAGTGCCAGCCCTGCCATCCCCAACAGGGATGAACTCTGGGTATGTAGAGAAAAATAAATCTTGGTAGCTCTATTGGACTGAAAACCAGCATTGGTAGATCCGGACTTGAGCAAGTTTATTTCACTTGGTGAAAGACTAGGTATTAGGTTAAATTGAACTAGAGTCTTTGAGCAAGTCATAAAGAGTTACTGCATTGTCCTTGAGTCATAAAGATGTTGTCCCCACCTGCAAAGGGCTGGTGTCAGATGTATTATCCAGAAGGGTACTGTCTGTAGCTGGCACACAGAGAATTTTATTGTCCTGTGGCCAGGGAACACAAGTCGTGTCTTGGCATGTGGCGATATTTGCGGAGGTGTTAGTGTTGACCTGCCATATGCTGTTAATTTCAACTAAAGAAGCATCCCCTGTTCATTTGGAAGGATGAACATCATAGAGGAACACATGCTTGGGTTGGGAACGATTTGAAGGTGTAATGTTCCATGTAAAGCAATTGCATCCTGGTCTTCAAAGCTGGGCAGGGTAGGGGGATTTTTGCTGTTGGCTTCAGTGTGGGAATGGCTGTGATAAAGCTGACTAATGATGAAATCCTCACTTGTAAAGTCCTGACACTGGGGCTCTGGGTATGGAAGAAACAGCAGCATTTTCAGGAGCTGGTGCTGTTCAAGCATGTGCTTTTCTCCAGCTGAAGGTGAAACTGGCAGTTTCTGGCAGAAAAGATTTCTTGCTAAGAGGCATCTTCAGGTGTCTTGCTGAGTGAGCCCCCCATGGGCATGTGCCCATCAGGAAGTGGCTTCTGTGTTGAGCTGTACTGAGAGCTGCCATGGTGGCCACCTGGCAACTGCATCCAAGTGGGAGCATGCTGCAGGAGAGCAGAAATGGCCTGGGGCAGATGGGGTCTCTTTCCTGTCCATTGCTGCTGTCTGTGGGGTAGGAAAGGGAGCTCTGTAAGGGAGAAGAGCTGGTCCCACCAGCTGAGGGCTTGGTCCTGTTACGGAGTTCATAAACATGCTGTCCCTCTGGCTGAGTAACCCAGCAAAGAGGATGCTAAGCATGGTCCACTACATTCACTCTTTATTTGGCTCAGTGTATTTCGTAACTGGAATCCATATTATGAGCCACTAAAAGCAGAATCTATAGCAGGACTAAAATGTAAACCTTTAATTAGATGAAGCGCTTATAAATCTGATATCCTGGATTTATGCGGCATCATGTGACTCAGCAGGCAGTTTTAACTTGTAAATATTATTATTTAGAATACTTTCATGGTAAAACTCGAATATATGTATACCATGGTTAAGGTACTAGATCCATATAAAATACTTAGTATATAATTATTACATGTAAAAAAGCTGCTGCTTTTAGTGAGGGCTGAAGGGGAAGCAGAGTGCTGCTAGGCACAGCCTCCCTCCAAAAGCAATATGGCATGTAGAAAAGAGCGACACAGTCAGAAATAAAGGCTTTTGGCTTATATTAAATCCTAATATTTGTTGACATGTAAAACTGAAATGAAACACATGCTTAAACTTACCCCTGTGCCTCCCCCCAGAATTTGCCTCCTCTGTTGTCTTGGGAAGATTTTTTTTAAGCTGTGACAGCAGCATATTTTCAGTGGCACATGCAGAGGTTTTTAATGCAGGCAGGACTGACCAAATGATTTATTTCATTATAAGTGACCTGTATAGTTCCTTAATGTGTCACCTGAAATTTAACCATGTTTCTCATGTAAAATGCTTTGTTTCCCCTCAAATCCCTATGTAAAGTTTCCTCATTCTCCCCTTTGTTTTGTTCTGTTTGGTGGCATTGGAAACGCCTTAAGTGTATGGCTCAACAGATGTTTTGTTTTCACAGCACAGTGATATTTTGGAAAGAAACCAAGAATTGCTAGAAACAAGCCTTCCTTTATATATTTACAAAATCATGATACACACAGTTGAATTAACAGGCTGGGCTAAATCAGATACCAGAGAGATCTGAAACTTGGCTCCAGAGGGGCAGTTAGCTTGGAAAATGTTTTATCACCTTTCATCTGGTGTATCCAGCATGTGGAAAGTGTAGCTCCTTCATTTGCAAAATGGCATGAGCATAGTTTGTTTATTGCTATTAAGTTTGTTATTGCTATTAAGGGACAGGAATAGGAGATTTTAAGAGCAGATATAGTTTTGAGGTTACTTTTTGAATCCATATTTTTTCACATTGTAGATTTCCTTGTGTATATTGGTTTGGGCAGAAGAATTCAAGCCATACATTTCCATGTCTTCTTTTCCACACACACGGGAACTCATTCACCCTCTGGTACCAGCCACTGCTCTTTTCAGAGATGCTTTACAGTGGGTGTTGGGTGGAGGAAAGGGTTTACATTGAGAATGTATCAAAAAAAAAAAGAAAAAGTGGTGTAGTTAAATATAAAATCTTCATATAGAGCAGCATAAAAGCATTCAAAAATACATCAGCAAAAGTTGGGAACAAAGCTTTCCTACTTTGTGGGCAAGCACAGCATAATTGTGGGTGCAGATGGATATGCATAATTGAAGGAAATCTGGAAAGAAATGTAAATCCTCTGAGTTTAAATATTAAATACTTACCACATTATCAAAAAAAAAAAATGAGGAACATCTTGCTAAAGTAAAAAAGTTTTTTTGCATCCATCAGAGAGAAAAAACTGCAGCTGAATGATGCTGATATATGAATGGCAGGACCAAGGAGTGGCCTGGTGTAAACCAGGTGGCTGTGATTCCTGCGTATCCTGTAATCCCCAGGGGTTACATCTCTTTAAGCCATGATTTAAATTAAATTAAAGATGTTACTTGACCTGGCTATGTTTGAGGGACCTCTGGTAGGATCCATTGCTTCACACCAGTAAACGTAATAAAAATGACGCCTGTAGAATATGTAAGAACTAATGAAGAAGTCTCATCATGCATTTGCAGAAGGGTCACATTCAAATCTAGCTACGTATTTCCTCTTCTCTCATTTTCAGATGGTTGTGAACATGGAGAGAAGAGGGATACCTTGAATTTTCAAGGTTTTGGTGAGATTGCTCACCAGGAGCCTCAAAAAAGCCACCCTAAGCTGTTGTGGGATGAGAGGGATCCTGTTGTGGATTAGTGGTTGCCTAGCAGTAGGAAAGCAAGAGGTCAGGTTCCACAACATCATAGAAGGCCCTCAGGGGTTTTCTGGGATCCCCACTCTCGAATACTGATAAGGGATCTGCAGAGGGGAGGAGGAAGGGCTGAGCTCTGAGCTTGGCTGTCTTTGTCCCAAGGGGCTGCTGGAGCCTGGGGAAGCCCTGAGCAGCTGCAGAGGGTTCTGGTGGTCCTGGGCGGCTGGGCAGCGCAGGGCCAAAGGGAGCGTCTGCTGGCAGGGGTAAGGAATGCTCTTCCAGGTGTATTGATTCCTGCCCTGCACCGGGGCAGCTCGCAAAGGAACCTGGAGTCATTGCAGCCTGTGTAGAGATCAGGGCTCAGAAGTGGTCAGGAGGGGAAATAAAGGAAGTTTCACCAGGAGAACCAATCGGCCCCGTGGGTGTGCTGCTGCCGGACCGTGTGGCGAGGGCGGCTCAGCGGGGTGGCCGGTGTGCCTGCCTCGGGGCACGGTCACACCCTGCTGGCTGCCGGGGGCTGGGCACGGGCATCCGAAGTGTGGAAACGGTGCTGTGCCCGGAGGAGCTGGAACAAGTGGGACAGAGCCTGCAGAAGCAGAGAGGAGGGGTTGTCTGCGCGCTGTGTGCAGCTGCAGAGTTCATTGCCTCGGGCTGTTAGGAAAATGTGAGTGGTTTCAAGAGCAAATTAAACAAATGTGCAGAGGATGGGCATCGGTACAGCTGATGAGACAACTCTGGGGAAGCTGTGTGCATTTCCTGGAAGAAACATTCATACCTTTGTCCCTGCTCCTGTGGTTTGTCTCTGTACCGGCTGTTGGGCACAATAGGAGACAGGTACGGGCTGTTTGAGATGAGGATACTTGTTAGCAATTTTAGGGTAAATCTGCTTTGGGGTGTGGAAATCAGGATTGCTGGATGTTCTCTGCTGTGGCATTGCTGGTTGCAGTTCCCTGGGCACACTGCAGCCTCTGGGACACCAGAGGAGCAGGATTTTCACACTTGTACTTTGCTGGTTAAGACCTGAGACCAGTGAGCTAATTGGACAGTAAAGGTTAAATATTAGAATGTGTGGACAAAATGTAATTCCCTGACTGCCTTGATGATTCCACGTCCCTCACTTGTTCTCTGCACAGGATTAATTTATCCTCAGAGGACTTGCTGTGTGGGCTTAACATGCCAGCCAGTGCTGTACCCTACAGCTGTGTCAGGTTCTGAGTTTTGGGGTGACAGCTATTTGTTTAATTTGTTTTACTTGTATTTTTTTTTAAGTTTGGGGGATTTTTTTTTTGGTCCTTTCTTTCCTCATGTTCATACCTGACACTTTGTGTTTTGTGTATGTGGCAAGCTTCCAACACATTTGGAAAAGTACATTTCTACTGACCACTGCCAGACAGAAATGCACACAAGTAGCCACTTGTGGGCTATCCTACTCTGCCAGGTAGAGCAGATTGCTTTTCTTCTTCACAACAGAGGTTTGGTGTTAGAATGCTTGAGAGGGACCCCATCTTAGGGCACTGCTTGTGGAAATAGAAGAAACTCCTCTAATGTGAAGTAATAGTAATAATTAAGCTGAATTGCAAAGTATCCATGGGGAACAGAAGGTATCTTGAAATGTTGTGGCTCTGCTAAAACTTGTTTACAGAGCCTATTTTGCCAGCTTAAAAATCAAAGCAAACTAACTGTTCACATTGCAGCAGCATGTACAGTCAAAGGTGGGGATAATTCGTGCAGAAGATGAGTTTTCCAGGTGCCCTTGAGTGGCCTGGAAAGGAGAGGAGTTGTTGTGACTTGCTGGGCATCCTGAGCTGTGCACCACCACAAGGAGTGTCTCAGCAGGAACTTGCAGAGAGCTGTAAAGTTGTTTTGCTGTAATGAACCTGCCACCCTTCTAGATCATTCAAGTGTGAGAAGGAAAAGCTGATGGTACTGAGATGTGCCTGCTACCACCTGCACCTGGAAACCCCTCAGGAGACGTTTTTGAAGTCAGAAGTAGGCAGAGTCCTTCAGGGCCTGGAGCAAGGAGCTCTGCTCTGCAGGGTGGAAGGCTGCTGGGGCTCTGTCCCCCCTGCACAGGTCTTAGTTGGGTTTTCTGGAAGCCAGATCCTTGCCTCTTGTTAAGGGATCCAGCGTGGATGAAGTCAGGCTGGGAGCTGTGTGAAGCAGCATGCTCAGAGGGAGCTGTCTCAGAGTTTGGTGCTAAGCTGACACTGGACAGCTCTGTTTTGGTGCTCTCTGGATTTGGAAAGCATTGCTGTGTGTGTGGTTTGCCAGCAGAGCCCTGACAGTGTGGAGGCTGACTCAGCACTGCTCTGCCCATCAGCACAGGCCTTTGCAGTTAGCTGCCTTCACGTGGGGCTTTTTGCTCTCCCTGCCACCGGGCAGGCCCCGGGTGAGTTGTCCCTGAGGGGTCCCAGCTGCAGAGGGGATGGCAGGAGGCAGCAGGGAGAGGCTGAGAGCCCACAGCAGGAGAGGAACCATGAACAGCATGGATGCCCTGCATCCCCTCCTGGTGCCCCACCTCTCCAGACTGCTGTACCTCTCCTGGTTCAAAAATACTTCAGTGTGCCTTTCTAGTGCATTTGTACTTAAGGAAATGAAAATTTATACAGTCTATCAAGGTAGGGCAAATAATTTCAATAAAAGCTGGAGCTACTTGTGTTTCTTGTGTTTCTTGGATCTTTTTGTTGTTGTTGTTTAACAACTGGAACACAGCAGTATTTGCTTTTTCATTGTGGAGTGCTTTATAAAAAATAAAGTTAAATATAAGTTCTAAGCATTAGGATGCTTTAATAATTTAGTATTTAGTCTAGTAAAGGACAGCATTTGTAATTTAGCTCATGTGGCATTGTCTTGACTCAGCCTTCCTGTAAACAAGCTACTTTCTTGATTTCTCAGCTGATACTCTCAAATCTCCCTTTCCCTTGCTGCATTTCCTTGGCAGAGTGAAAGTGTAAAGTCTAAAACACCTTTATCTATTTTGTGAAGAGTTAGGAATTAAGATATGTTTTTTTAAGCATATTTCCATGCATCTTGTTCCAAAAGAGCAGGGAGTCTTCTCTGCAGGAGTGCCTGAATTACTCAAGGATAGGCAATAAGATATTTCCCTGGGAAAAGTTAGCTTTTTCTTTTCCCCTGTTCGTTGTGTTAAGCACCAGCATCAGGTTATTTCATTCACTGTATTTTGGGTGTATCCAGTGTTCAGGGTGGATCTGGTTGCCCTGGTGGGACCAGAGAGCAGGCAGCCTGTGAGCTGGTGTCTGCTCTAGCTGGGAGCAGATTCTGACAAAGGAGATGCCCATTTTGAGTGGGCATTTAGGCATTTAAAATGCCTATGTGGTGTTAATATGTTTGCTGCTGTCCTTCCAGGCCTTGGTAACAGCTTCTTGGGACCACAGGGCTTATCAATTACTGAGGCAATACTTGCTCATCCCTAGAACTTTGAGGTTTTTTCTTAACAGGTTTTCTTTTTTTTTTTTCCCCAGGTATTTTTTGAACTCTTCAGCACATCACAGATCTGTTGTTTTGGGACATCCTGCTTAAGCCCCTGGAGGAAAATCTGCCAACAGCCAAAAATGACTTGAGTTGGAGAGCTGCTGCTTTATCCACAGGTAGTATTTGTAGCTCAGTAACCTTTCTGCAGTCCAGCATGGCAGTGTTTGCTTTCAGCAGGTTACTCAGGGAGGAAGTTACTGCTTGTGCCCCTCTGGGAATGGCAGTGATCTGCATGTGGTAGTCTCCTGAGGACACCTGGAATCTCCATACTGTTTCCATGCTTTTGGACACATCTGGAGCAGCCATGTAGGAAAACGAGCAACTCATTCTGTGGTCCTGTGTGTTGTTTGTGAGGGGTTTATGCATCAGTGTATCTTTTATACACCAGCCCCCCATAAATCAGCTTAGTTTGAGCTGCTTTTTGGGCAGTCCTCCTACAGGATTCCCATTTTATGACATGATGGGAGCTGGAGGTATCTGCTAGTGTGAGGCAGTGCAGACGAGGACAGGCAGTGCTGTACAACAGCATCTGGCTTTGCTTTCTCCAGAGGTAACTTACCTGGACTAATGTTCATCTAAGTAGATTTATGAGCCTAAACATGCCCCAAACCTTACTGGGGCTTAATTGGCTTCCAGCAGGTTTCCAGCAAGGTTTGAATGCATTCAGCCCACTGCAGACTTGCAGCAGGTTCCTGGAAAGTCACCAAAGTACCAGGCTGGTGAAGCTCCTGGGGCTCATGAACTCAGAGCTTTTTTTTTTTTCTCTTTCCAGTTCTATACTTTATAATGTTCTTCATTAATGTTAAAACCTGTGGTCAAGTGAAAACTCACTTCTGAAAGTGCCTTTGGATGTTGACTGTCATTTGGATGTTCACTGTCAGGGATGGGAAATGAAGCAAAGCAATGTGGAGACTTCCCCTGCTTGCTGGCATGATACTGGCAGTGTTAAATTTGGCTGTCCCTTGTGGAAGGGAGTAGAAAAAAAGTTTGAGTGGCAGTGGTCTCAGGTCACCATAACATAGCATATGATGGCTGATACCAGGTCAGATCTTTCTGTTTGGTGTTTGAGGTGGTAGAAATGAGATCTTTGAACAGCCTGAAATTTTAGATTTACCCTGATGTTGTCTCGCTCTCCTCCCCCTGCATACAGATCACCATGATTTTACCTGTGCCTGTGCCTGCAGCCCTGACTGAGCTGTTTCCTTTTCCCAGGGCCAGCTTCCAGTGTCCCGTCTGGATGCACCGTGCACTATGGTTCACATCAATGTGTTGAAAAAGTTCATGTGTGTTCTTGTGGTGGTCCTGGTAGCACTGACAGTTTGCCTGTGGAGAGAAACAAGAAGAAACTACTATGATCCTTTGAAGACCAGGAATGATGATTTGCAGGGGCACAGGAGTTTGGAGAAGTGGAACACTGTTAAATCACAAAGCCTTTTCCATGAAGCAGCCAGTGAACTGGGGCAGGTATCCAAAATGTGGCTTGGTACCCAAAACAAAGTAAAGGGCAGCACCTCTGAAACAGATGAAAAGTCCAAGAAAGCAGCCTTTGGGAAGGTATGGGATAAGGACAGCTCATCTAGAAATCTCATACCCAGGCTGCAGAAGGTCAGGAAAAACTACCTGGCCATGAACAAGTACAATGTGACTTACAACGGGAAGAGGAATGCTAAGCTCAGCCCAGAGAAGTTGCTGTGCCAGCTGCGGGACAGAGTCAACGTGACCATGATCCAGAGGTCGGATGGTCCTTTTGGTACCTCTGAGTGGCAGCAATACCTGCCAGGGAAAAGCCTCAGTGAAGCAGTGGGACACCTGGGTCGCTGTGCTGTCGTGTCCTCAGCAGGGTCTCTGAAATCATCTCGCTTGGGACAAGAGATAGGTTGGTATCTTTCAGTTTGCATGAAGTCAAATATCATTGTTCATAACTTGGGCTTAGTAGAAGTAACCTGCTGTCATGCTCTTACTGACAAGTCTCTTGTGATCAGAAGGTGTTTAAAACAAGTGGAAATGTTAAACTTCTAAAGTCAGTAAATATTTTAGCCTAGCTGGAGATAGGAGTCATAGGTAGCTCTATTCTAGCAAGTCCTTTTGATTTTCATGATCTTGTTGGCATCAGTGGAGGATCATATGAATATTGGATACCAGAGAGCAGTCTTAGTTCCTCAGGTGTTTGTTTCTTGAGAGGGCTTGGGGTGGGTTGTGTAATGCTTATTGCACAGTCAGAAAAACATTCATACAGGAAGACATTTTCAGAGAAGAAATTAAAGAAAATGGTAAAGGGGAAAAAGCCCTTCTGGATATAGCCTTGAGCAGTCTGTGTTGAGCTGAAGGCTGGGCACAGACTATCTTCAGAGGTCCCTTCCAGCCTCAGTGATTCTGTAATTCTTGCTCAAGGCTTTCCCAAAGTGATACTGCCTCATTCTGAGCCATAAGGCAGCTGGCTGCATTTGAGTGGCCCAGAAGACCATCAAAAGACTTTACAGGGATTTATCTCTTTGTCCAGTGTTTGGTGATGCTTTGTGGTCGCATCTGACCATATTTACCTGACGTTAATGTATTAATTATTAACTGCCCATGCTTTGGTCTTTTACTGTGAATTATAAAGAAGGATTTTGTACCAGGCAGAAAATTCTTCAGAGCCTGCAGCTCCCTCAGCTTGCTTCCTTGGTGTTTGGAGCTCAGTTAAGGTTCATATTTTGCTGAACTGTAGCTTCACTGAAGGAGAAGTTTTAAAATCTGGGAGTTGTCTCTCAAGTGGAAATTGTTTGCAGGCTTTGGTGTATTCATAAGTTGTCTATTGGATCAGTTCCCTTTGGCCTGCACTAAGCTGCAAATAGCCTTCATCTTCTGAAACAGGTAGGTGGATAGATTTTAATGCATCATTCATGAACAACTTTGGCAAAGCCTTCAGAATCACAGTCCCTTGTGGGATAGCATTGAGTTCTGGTACTTGCTCAGAAGTTCTCTCCCCAAAATCCTCTGCGTCCACAGGCAGATAAGCAGGAGCTAGAGGGAGGTTGAGCAGTTGGAAGTGTGTGGAAATGCTATGAAATATGCAGTGAAGAGCAGCATTGCCTCCTGGTACAAATTGCAGGTGGAGTTGTTTGATGTAATTGATTCTGTTTCTTAGGAGTGTTTGAAGTGAGATGGGTCAAGACTTGGGAAAGCAGTTCTTCCTTTTCCTTCAAGTACCTGTCTCAGGTTGTTTGGGTGCCTCTTTGGAGTTCAGAGCTAAAGGTTTGCACAGAAGTGACCTTCTCTTGAACAGCCTCCCCAGCTCAGCTGGCTTATGCCCAGGGCTGTGTTAGGCTCCAGCATTACTGCCAATGCTTGTTCCTCTGGAAGGAGTCCTCACAGGAGTGGGAGGTGATGTTCTGGAGTGTTGGAATGCAGTCCCTGCACCTCTGCATCTGGTATGGGAGCAGCCAAGTAGAATGGGCTGTGCTTTGGCACAGATGTCAGACAAAGCCCTTTCATTGTTCCCACAGCCCCTCTCTGAGCCCTCCACACGCTGAAGCACTGGTTTGTTCCAGATCACAAGGAATGGATGCTGGGGAGGTCACTGTGTAGTGTGCCTGAGGCAAATGCCATTAACCCCTGCTGGTGTCCCTGCCCTGTGTTTCTTGTGCCTGGGTCACAAACTTTCACCCTTCTGCTCAAGCAGTTAACTCTGCTAGTGCTTCTGCAGAGTTTGACACTTGCAGCCTTGAGCTAGGCAGGGGAGAGTATTAAGGATTCAGGAGCATTCAGTGTATTTCTGTACTGTTTTTCCTATTTCTTCTATGCAGGAAATATGGTGGTGGTGTTGGAGGAAGTTGTTGCAAAGGTACTAAATCTTACAAGGTTAAAATGAAGTATTTGTGTAAATGAGCACAATGGATTGCTGAGTTGTTACTCCATGAAATATTTGTTCTATGTAATCATGTTAAGATATCAAATGAGCAATTAGGTAAAGTAAGGCAGGCTGGCAGAGCAGCACAGGGTTATAAACAACCACCTTTTACTGGGCTCTTGGTATTACCGAGGGTTATAAATTGCCACTGAAAAATCTGATGTGAGAGATACCGAGTATAGCACAACCACCTGGAGGCAGAGCCAGCTACTCAGCCTGAGCAGTCACTAAACACCCTTTTAATGTGCAAACTTGGGGCATCTGAATGCTGGGTGTCTGACTGAAGTTGTGTATGGGGAAATCATAACCCTGTATTGCGTTAGTGCAAGGCAGGATGTGGAGCCAAGGGTCTGCAGTAGAAACCGCAGAGCACTTCTCAGTGTGCAGATGCTGTTTTCAGAAACATCACCTTTCTTGGTTTTGGATGGTGCTTTGGAAGGGCTCTTAAGAAGCTGCACTTGTCCAGGAGAATAGAACTGAAAAATCAGTCTTTGCTGCCAGGGATTACTGATCCTGCAGCATTGCTTGTTAGAACACTCCCATTTTCAAGAAAATTATCTCAAAAAGACCTAGTTCTGGAGCAGGTGGGTCCTTCTGCCCTGGAACTTGGCAATTCCCACAGACCCTCCTGCAGGTGGTGTATGTTGCAGTCATGTGGCCTCAGTGTGAATGCAGGAAAGATTGCTCAGCTTCTCTAACTCAGCCCCTCTGATCACAGGGAATGTTTCTTACCCAAATGTAACCACAAGGCAGGGAGGAGCCAGGGTGACAAGCACAACCTCCCTGCGTGTCACAGCAGCAGCCTGACTCCACGAGGTCACAGTGTCCTGGCTGGCTGTCCCAAGGCAGAGGAGGGTGCTGGAGGAGTGCTGTGCTATCTTAAGAGATTATGCCAGCAGAGGAGAATTCAGTGAATCCCAAGGCATGCAAGAAGCTGTGTCTATTGAAGACACAGCAGTGGGTTTATTTCTGTGGGAGGCATGTTGGCAGGCTGAGGTCAGTTTGGCTTTCCCCTGTGGTTGGTGTGCTGGTTTCTGGAGCTGGTCAACCTCCGGGCTGGAATAGAGGATGCTGGTTGCTACTACTTCTTAGTTTCTTAGTTTGCAGCCAGCCATGTCATAAATTAATTGTGTATTGGTCTATCTCCTGGTAGTGTTTGGAAGGAGGAAGAGGGAAGAGCAAAGGCTAGGGCTGTGCTCTCAACCTGGCAGTTTTAGAGAGTAGATTTTAAAAAGTGTATTGATCATGAAGTTTGAGCCAAACCTTCTTCCAAAGAGTCTGACTTGCTACTTCTAGATGTTAGGTTGAAAGGCAGGGATTAGCCTGATTGTATTAGAAGTGCAGGTGAGTAGTGTCACTTGTTTGTGGTATCACTCAAACCCAGTTGCTGGCTCACAGGTTTTCCCTCTGTTTGGCTTTCAGACAGCCACGACGCCGTCTTGCGCTTCAATGGGGCTCCTGTCAGGGGCTTTCAGGATGATGTGGGGCAAAAGACAACAATTCGTCTTGTGAATTCCCAGGTAGGTCTGAGGAGTGTGCACCAAGCAGGCCAAGCATGGCAGAGCTGTGTAGTTGCACTGTCTGGGAGCTGGGAAGAGCAGGGCTGTTTATCTGATTTCTCCTGTCCTTAGCACATGGCTGTAGGGTGGGAATGTCTCTCCTTGGAATGGGGACAGTTGGTAAATCTAAGGTGACTTCAGTGACACTGGCATGCACTTGCAAACTTGCAGTAGCCTGCTCGTGATTTACAGCAGGCACAAAGTAACCTGGGGTTTTCTTTGCTCAAAGGCTCTGTGTAGGCACAGGAAGGCCAGCTCCATACTGCTGCTGTGCCTTTGGAGTGAGAGGCAGGAACAACTCAGCCAGGTTAGCAAGGAGAGGTGTGCCAAGGGATGACTTGTGCCTGCCCCAGAGATGGGTATGAAGAACGTTTACGTGGCTTTTAGTAAAAGAACAGTGTTTCTTTACTGCCCAGCAATGCTGCAGACTCTGTAGGTAACACATTAACCAGGGCTGCTACATGGCTGAAGACACTTAAAACACCCACTTTATGTAGCCTGTGCACAGCCAGGAGAGGGATGGGCCCTGGTGGGTCCAGGACCTCATTGCAGAGCGTGGCAAAAAGTGCCTTTAATGCAAGGCCTTGCTCACAGAGTTAAATCTTCCCTTCCTCTGAGAGCTCCATATAGATATCAAGGTGTCCCTTTGCCGATTTCCTTTGGCCAAACTCTCCAGGGTTAGAACCATGTGCCACAGTGCATTAGCAGAGTCAGTCTACCACTGTCCAGCAATAGAGTGAGACCCTTGCTGTTGTAGGCACATCTCAGAGTATTTGCACCTTTCCTCCTGTTACCCGTCATGGTTGTCCCTTCTGGAGGGAGAAATGGTCAAGTGTAGACAAGCAGAAAAAAGGGGAAATCATAGTAGGATGTGCTGGCAAGAGAATGGAGGAGGACTGAGCAGGCCAGGAGTCATTTGGTTAAAAGACCTGGTGCAGCACTGCAGCACTGAATACAAGCATCTCCTCACCTCATAAGAGGAGGAGGAGGTTGTAGGCACATGAAGGCTGAGGAACTGATAGAAGGAGAGATGAGTGGCTGAAGTATAGCTTTTGTAAGCCTGAACCAAAAAGGCAGTTTCTTTTACTTACCCCAGAGCTAAGATTTGTAGGCCTGGAGTTTTCTCACCTGCCCCTGTGTGAGGAGTGCATGGATGCTGCGGTGTAACAAGGTTTGAAGTTTCACAAAACAGCAGCGGGAGCTTGACCATCCTCTTCAATGGCAAGAAGACACAGAACTAATGTGTAACCAGTTGGCCTCCTTCATTTTGTGTATCTTTTAAAGGATATTCTTGCTTCTTGTGTGAGTGCTGTTGCTAACTCTTTCAGCTCTTGGGTCACTCTTCACTTGCTGCCATGCTCTTTGCTGTTGCTTGCTGCATCTTGTTCCCTGCATTAAGCCCCCAGTCAGAAGGGTGACAGTTTGTCATTTCTGAGCCAGTAAGGTTTGAGCAGACAGATCTGGCTGCTGCCTTCTGTGCCCTGTTTGACATTTTTCCTTTTTTTTCTTAATCTTTCCTGTCTCTGTGTATTTTTCTAATGTCAGATAGATGTTCTCACTTAAGCAAACTTTCTCTGGAGGATGTGCTCATGGCCAAGCTTACAGTGATATGAAGAGAAAATATGTTCATGACCTCTGTGCTATCAGTGTTATCTGCTCAGGGAGGAGGGTAACTGTGTGGTTGTACAGCTGTGATGTGGATTCTCCTACTTTGGACCAAGTGGAGTTACAGCCATGTCATCATAGTGCTTCTGTTCTCCATGCAGATCAGCCTGCCATCATGGATGATGTTCCTTCTGAATGGAGACACCAGCTTAGGAAACTTCAGTTACAGGGAGAGCAATATTGCTGCAGTTTTTAGAGGCTAAAGTTAACTCAAAAGGCAGTATTGATCTGGCTGCTGACCAGGAAAAAAGATGCTTTCCATGTGTGTAGTGCAGGAGTTTCTCATCTGGGGTTTCTAAAGTGAGCAGCTCTGGCTGCAGTCTGTTTGCTTCAGAGACCATTGGATTAGAAGCCTGGTTTTCTTACATGTTTTTATTTGTACTTTGAATGGTTCAGTGCTGTTCTAGTCTTGGTGACATCAATTAAACCTTATTGTTAGTGAGGTGGCCTGATCACATTTTCCTTTTAGATTGCTGCAGGTGCTGTGCCTTATCTTGCCTTGCCCAGAGCTCTTAAAGGCATCAGGTACTGGACAAGCTGTAACTTGTTCTTGTTCTGGGCTGGCTTTTCTTATGTTATAACTGAGAAAAGGAATGGGTTTGGGGCTTGGCTGCTTTTATTTTGGCTCTTACTGCTGATCAATCCTCATCCACTGCCAAAGTGAAGGAAATGGGATCTCCTGAATCTGATCTGTCAAAGCTGGTCTGTATTGAGTAATATCCCTTTGGCACAAATGGCCAGTGGCCCTAAGTTTCTTAATTATTTTAAGATACTTTTCTGTAATCTTCTAGCCAATCTCTAGAACATACATGGGGTGGATGGTTTTAACTGTAAAGTGGAGTGTCTTGTACATCTGTGTGCATAGAGAAAGATTAATGGATTGGTACTGACAGGAAGGCAAGAAATTTGGGACCTCCAGATCTGAGGATATGCTTGTAGGCCCACAAGCTTGGTAATTGTTCTAAATAAAGAATTTATTTAACACTGCCTCATTTATTTTCTCAGGCCTTGAGTGGTTCATCAGTACTGCTGCTTTTTTGATGGCATGTTTTCCTGCAGTCTGACACAAGGGATTGATTTGCCTTGGGAAAGCAGTTACATCTTGCAAAAAACAAGGGCTGAAGTGCATGTGAAGATGTGCCAATGTCATGCTGGAGGACACAGCCCCTTTCTGCACAGCTGACCAAGGGCCAGAGTACCTTGTTCCTCCCAGCCCTTGTTTCCAGTTCTCCTGGGCTGGCTTCTTGCTGTCACAGAAAACACTCTCTGCTTTGACTGCCTTTGCTGTTATTGGCACTAACAGTCTGCAGGGAGGAAGAGAAAGGAGATAACACACCAGTGGAATGGAGGAAGGCTGTGGTGGGAAAGGAGAGCATGTTTAGATTGCAGGACGTTGACTGCTGGTAGCAGGAAAGAAGGAAATCATTGTGATATGGCCAATAAATGTACTAAGAGGATAGGGACTGTATTAACAAGATACTGTTACACAGTGAACTGGCTAAAGAAGAAATCAGAAAACCAATAGATCACTTAACTAATTAGGATCTAAAATCTGGGCAAGACAAGTCAGTCACGTAGTAATTTAAATGAATTTTACTACTTAGAAAGAGTCAGTCTCTATTAAACAACAAATGGACACTGAGGGTAAACGGGGAGCCAGATTCCTTCAGCAGACAGGTTAAGTGACTGTTGGCTAGCAGGCAGTGCCAAGAGCCAGCTCAGTGTGTGGGAGGACACAGCAAGCAGTGGCTGTGGAGGTGCTCCCCTCCTGGTTTCTTGTCCCTTTGCTTTTGTGCCTGTCACAGCTCTCTGGGGGTTTGTGTGCTGCTGCCAACTAGCATGGCTATGGAGACAATGCCATGAAAATAAAGTGCACGTGCTCCTTGCCATATCCCTGCCCCTTTGCAGTGCTCCATCCCACTTGTGCCCAGCTGAGGGGATGGCTGGTGCCAGCTGCTGTGCCCCTCTTTGCCCCTGGTGTCCACAGGCTGCAGGCAGATAGACCTGAAGCACTGCATGCTCCAGCTGTCAGTGACCTAGATATTTTAGCTGCTGTAAGGAAATTAAACCAGGCAGTGCACGTGGTCAAGCCAAGGCCTAATCCCATAGAGTTAAGAACAGATGTGAGGAAACTTTTTGATTTTGGAATAATTCCCATCTGGGCTGGCTGTAGAATCCTTGTACTCTGATTATTGGGGAAAGCCAAGCAGGCAGACGGCTTCAGAGGAAGCTAGGATGCTCAAGGACTAATTGGCTAGCTCATAATTAGATCTGTGGAGATAATCAGGACAAATGGACACTGATTTTTATGATTATGATTTATGATTACAATGTTTACGACTTGTGCCTGTATAGGTTATGGCTTTGGGTGGGTGGGGAGGAACAGGAGCTTAATTTGATTAGGATTGTTTTCTTTCTGCTGCAAACCTGGGATACCCTTGGGTGTCTTAAGCAGTGGTGGTTATGTCCAGAGTATAGAGAGAGCTCTGCTGGAAGCTTTCCTTCTCATTGCTTCTCTCAGGAGATTCCAGCCTCCCCTGCCTGAGCCATGCCCTCCCTGCTCTACAGAGGCAAGAGGGGCCTTGGCATTAGGCAGGATTGGCTGGGGATGCTGTAGTATCTCTTCTCTTGCACTGATGGTCTCAGCAGCTGAGCACTGGCTGCCAGGGTTCCTGTTGCTGAAGAGAAACCACCCACCTGCAGGCCTTTTTTTGGGGGTTAAATACAGGTTCTTGATAAAGCCAAGAGAGTATCTGCATTAGGCTCTGCTGGGACTGTCCTGATGACCACTGGCAGCAGCTGCTGTTCCTCCTGCTTCTGATATTGTAGTGATGGGATCCTCACACAGGCTGGGTCATTCTGCACCTCCTGCCCTCAGTGTATTACTGGAGATGGATGGAAAACCTTGGAGCATTATGGCAGCTTCTCTTGTGACTCTCCACCAAGTCCTTTGCTGCTAGGCAGGACTGGCTTGGGTGTTGGAAGGGCATTGCTGGGGCTGTGTCCTTGCTGCACACAGCAGGCCATGCTCAGTAACCAGCAGTGGGGTGGCTCTGGTCGTTTCCAGGTGTTTGATTGCTTGGCTGCCTGCTCATTCTGATAGTATACTGCATATCATTGTATCTGTTGTTGTTTTCCAAGCTTGTAACTGTTGAAGAGCAGCAGTTCCTGAGGGAACCATTATATAACACTGGAATCTTAATTGTCTGGGATCCAGCACCATATCATGCAGAAATTCATGAGGTAAGCCTGAGTTTTTTGTAAATAAAATCAGATTCACATGCTTTGAAGTGCTTCTGTTAAACTACTTCCTCCTAATGTGCACAATCACTCATTCCAAGGCCTTTCTTGTTTGCCTTTTTGTTTTATGGATATATCTGTGTGTACATCTGTGAGTATCCCATGCATGAGTGCTCCTAAGAAAACTCTTGCCTGCTTCTAATCCCTGTGAAGGGCCTCAGGCCAAGGATGATGGGTCACCACCTTTACTCTCCTGTGGGCTGATGGCACAGAGAGGAGGTCACTGCTGGCTGCAGCAGTTGTCTCATTAGAGGATGATTTCCTCTCTCTGACAGTTAATCTAAGACTTGCTGATGGTTGATGCTTGGATATTTCAAGCAGCAGTCAGCCGTGGGATATACTTGATGCATTTTGAATAGATTGGGAAACCCTCTGAAGGTCTGTGTCAGCTTTCACCTGTGTGTGTGCAATCCCTCTAGCAATTAACTTTTGATTTTGAGTACAACAAAGTGTTTTTTGACATGTGATGAGCTCTGGAGGCTCATAGTGAAAGCAGGTAGGAGTGAATAGTCCATCCTTTATTTTAAATTCTGGCTGTAACTGAGAGGTCTTTGCCTTCCTTTCTTTGGACTGCATTTCCTATTTTCTCACTGATATTTATTTCTGTGCCTGGTCCCACGGCTCCAGGAGGCATAAGGGGCTATGGGCAGAATGTTTAAGAGTCAGTAAAACCAGGATGGGCTATTTATAACACAGGGGAAAAAAATATTGAAGTGACTTTAGGAAAAATGTAAACAATTCCTAGTTTTTACTGAAAAGAGAAATTTAAGGATGTAAATCAGCTCAGCCTGGTTCAGGAAGCTGAGCTGGGAACACTTGCCTGCAGAATATTCTGCTTGTTATTGCAATGTGGAGAATTATCTGGGTCTGGAACATTTAAGGCAGAGTTCTCAACATTGTCTGCTGTTGGGGAGTGCAAAATTCCATTACCATTCAATGGTCCTTCATTGAGATTTGGGGTTTTCCTGCTCTTTTGACTGAGTCAGCTCACCACAGCAACCCAAGGGGACAGTGAGTGAGGGTGTGTAGCAGGATCTTCTTCCCCAGCAAGAGCAGGTTCACTCTTCCTTATTTTCTGTTGGTTAGAGTGGGCCAGAAATAAAGAATCTGATTTCCTGTTTCTGTTTTGCAGTGGTACAGAAAACCAGATTACAACTTTTTTGAAAGCTATAAGGCGTATCGTAGAACACATCCAGAGCAGCCCTTCTATATCCTGAATCCCAAAATGCAGTGGCAACTCTGGGATATTCTGCAGGAGAATTCCCTGGAGCATATTCAGCCTAATCCACCATCATCAGGAATGCTTGGTAAGATAATTGCCCTCTAAACTTCTGGTTCAGTTTGCAGGCAGGAACTCTCCAAGATGCCTTTTGTCAAAGACAACTACAAATTGATGGTGCTTATCACAGTTGTTTTTACAGTGTTTGTCCTGTGCCAAAATTTAAGTTTCCTGTCTTCAGAGCAGCAGCTCAGTTGTATTAAAGTAAGTGGTTTGCAGCACCCCTCTGAAACAGCAGTCACAAACATGGCCCAGTTCCAGGTGGAAACAGTAGAGCAGACTGCAACACTGGGACGGTCTCTAGGATTTGTAGCTTCTAGTGCCAGAGCACTTCCCACAGGGTGCAAGAGGAAGGATGTGTCTCCTGCAGGCTCAGATCTGGTCAGGCAAATAAATCAATCTGATTACTGTAAATGAATCCTAAGGGTGTGCCCGTTTCTTTTCCATATATAAATGTGTGTGTATTCAGCAACTTACTGGGGGTCTGTGGAAGGTCAGACTGAATAGTTGCCCTGAAAAGGTGATATGCTCTCCTCAGCAAAGGAACTCCTTTTTACATTCTGTTGTTGCAGAAGTTTTCTTGCTTAGTGGAGAGCAGCTCTCATAACCAGCTGAAGGAAAAAGAGTGAACCTCTGGGGAAGCTGCCATGTATTTGAAATCACAGCATAGATGTAGAGTCTTGTTTGCCATGGACAGGCCAACTGCTGTGCTTCCACCCTTTGTCTGCATCCAGCTCTGTTCCATCATTGCTGAGGCAGAGGCACTTTCCGTCTCTGTGTAAACAGAGTTGCTTCTTGTTTTTGCCAGGCCCAGCACCTATTAAATCATTGCATCATTGCTTGGATATGTGTAGAGCAGCTGTGCAACAGCACAGTCAATTACTTCAGCAGCAGAATTGTTAACTGGAATGACAAATTTGAAGACACACATGTCAAACAGCAGTTCCTCCAGGGCTTAACTTTGGGCCAAGTCCACTTGCTTTTTGCTTCGTAAAACAAATCACCTTGCCAAATTCAAGGGCACAGATGAGTTCCAGTTTCCACCTCTGTGTTCCCTGGAAGGCCTGAGTGTGATCAAAATTTTTCATTTGAAAAGGTGGATGAAAACATGTTTAAAATATACTTTAGGTTCTTTTAATGTCTTACAGTTCCTCATCGTCCCTGATGTCTCAGATACTGCATGAATTTTCTATAATGCTGCACAGTGATTCAATTTCTCTGGTGTATTCTTGCTATTTCTTGCACTTACAAGAAAAATAGCTGGTAACTATGGGCTCCATCTTATCTGGCTGTGCCCAGCAGTGCCTGGTGTGATGTCCTCGGGTGAGAAGACACAGGAGGGCAGCACTGCTCTGGTCCGGGGAGCCTGAAGAGCAGAGGCTGCTCAGTCTCCCTGAGCATCTCCCAGCACAGGCCCTTCCATGTTCCCTGCACTCATGAGAGCAGCTGGGACAAATGTGAAGGTCCCATCTCTGCTTATCCAGGCAGGTTTGAGATGGGCTGTTCGGGTCAGGTAATTGCAGTGCATGCTCAGCAGACACCCAAGTTTCCATGAAGGTCACAGATAATGGTGGTACTCTTAAAAATTGTCCTTTTGGTATGGCTTTCCATGTAAACAACCTGCTGAAATCACGTTGATCATACACTTGGCAGGGAGGGCTTCAGAAAAGAGCCCTGCCTGGCCAGATTTGTTCTCTGCCCCTCTGAACATCAACAAGGGAAAGCCTTCCCCTTGGAGCTGCCTGCTCCTCGCTGGCTGCCTGTCCCTCTGGCATGTTCAGTCTCTGGTGTGACTGGGGTGTCTGCTCTGTCCCCCAGGCATCGTGCTGATGATGACGCTGTGTGACCAGGTGGACGTGTACGAATTCCTGCCCTCCAAGCGGCAGACAGACATCTGCCACTATTACCAGAAGTTCCATGACCACGCCTGCACCATGGGAGCTTACCACCCCCTCCTGTTTGAGAAGAACTTGGTGAAGCACTTGAACCAGGGCACCGATGAGGACATCTACACTCACGGCAAAGTCACCCTGCCTGGCTTCCAAAAAGTGCATTGCTGACAGATTGGTTTTACTGTGTTTCGTTTTCCTTGACTTTCAAAGCACTTTTTAAATCAGGGTTCTCAGATTTGTTAGGTCTAAGCACTGGTGTGTTTTGACAGCTCTTCCATGTAGCAAGGCTTGCTCTTAGGACTTTGTTGACCAACTCTGAGCTGCAAGGCTCACTGTGGTACAGCCACTGACCTGCATGAGTCACTGCAATAAATGGACTCCCAGTGGAGCCAGGCTCTTGCAGCACACAGATACCTCTGGCTTCATCTCAGCCGATGACAGGGTAGGGGAGGCACAGGAGAGGCTTTCTAAGCAGATTGCACAAGTCAGGTTCATACAATGAACATAGTTTGGTTTGCTTCAAAGAGGTTGTGACTGCCAAAAACCTGGGCCATTGGGAAACATGAAAAATCGTTTAAAATTTGTTCCCATAGTCAGAGGCTCTTCAGAGTAGGGATGATTTCTGGAAATGCTGTCAAGCTGTGTAATGATAAACGAAAATTCTAGTCCAAAATATTTGATTTTATAAACAGTCTGTGAACTTGCTTCCAAATTGTAAGACTTCTGAAACCACTCAGGTGACATTTTTGGCAAAGGAAAAGGAAAGCAATTCATAATTCAGTGAATCTTGCAAGACTTTTTAATCTTCTTACTTTTTTTTTTAATAATTTAAAATAAATTTTAGTAATCATTTAATTCTCCAGTACGGTGCTGGGCTTGGTACAGAAGAACCCTTATTATCAGAAAGGTTTTGGGAAGCTGCTCCAAGGCACAAACTGGAGAAGACACTGGAAGTCAGTGCCTTTTTCCATCTCTCTGCTGCTCTACCTTTGCAATTGTTGAATTACTTGTACCCATTAACACAAACACCACAGAGCTGCTGCTAGATGAGTTCCAGCCCTCTGCAAGCCAACAGAGGGGGTCTCTCAATTGCTTTTGTGCATAGGTGGGGAGCAGGTTTGCTACTTCCATGCTTCAGGAGTGGTGGGGAGGGAGAGTGTGCTCTGCTTCTCATTCTGAAACACAGGCAGAGCTGAGAAGGGCAGCCAGCAAGGTGAAAGGTGCAATCTCAGTGTCTTAGTGAGAACGCCTTCCCTGTCTTCTGTACTTGTGTCTTTCATCAGGTCTGTTAAGAAGGCTTTCTCCTGTTTTGAATAAATCCTGTGAAGTCGTTGGCCTGATTTTGGTGAATGGTAAATGCCTTGTCCCATTGCCCTGGGGATTTGTACCAGCCTTGTACCACTGTGGGCACAGCTGCTCCCTGCTGGTTCAGGGAGCCCTCAGCTTGTGCCCTGCTGCTCCTCCAGCTCAGGGCTGCCTTTCTGCACACCTCTCTCTTGGTTTGGATTGGATCTGTCAGTGTTCACAAATTACATACATCTAAAAAGGTCCAGGTCCTTGCACCACTGCTCAGGAGCACCACTTTCCACTAGGACAAGAATGCAAGGAAGGATGCTTGGAAAGCATTCCTTTTCACTGCCAGGGGAGGAGGGAGCTTACAGAGGAAAAGCCATTAGGGGTTGCTTGGGAGAGCTGCAGTAATCCTCTTCCCATCTCCACTCTTGGGTTTTTACAGCCCTACCTCTCTGTTCCTTGGATCAAGGAGGTATCTGCCACAGCAATTTGCCTTCTTACTATGTGTTTAGTTGAGATTCAAATAGCTTCTGACTTTTTTTCCTAGGCTGTTTCATCTGTTAATTTTCACAGCATTATTTTGCACCAGCTCCCCCACTGTGGAGACCAGCCCAGCCACTGTTCCTGCCCTGGGCTGTGTAATGGATGAATGGAGCACAGTCTGCCTGCTGCTCACCTGGAGGGTGAGCTCCCTGCTTCCCTGCAGGGCTCCTGCTAGGAGACAAAATGTCAAACATTCTGACATCTCTCAGAACCCTCAGTTACTTAGGGACAATGGTGTTGCACTGAGCATGAAATTTCAAATGTTATGCTAACAGTTTTAGCTACATCCAACATGTGATTCATTTACAATCTAAACAGAGTTTTACAGGAATTATGACAGAGCTTAAAATAAGCCAGTGGTAACCCTCTTGTTTTTCCTTTTTTTCTCTGCCTAGATCAAAATCTAGTATAAAGTACAAGTGATGACAAATCTGGTATTTAGGAGAGCCAGGTGTAAGTTAGTGGGCAGTAATAGCTGGATTGTAGCAAAGGTCTTGTTCTCCTGCAATCTTCACCACTTCCAGAGTGAACAGCTTTCTGTCCATGTAGAAAGGAGGAAAGGGGCAACACTGCCCTTTCTAGTTAACCACTGAAGGACTAAGTACTGGGAAGGATGCTCTGTAATTACATGGGAAAGCTGGAAAATTTCCAGCTGGGACCTGTTTTTACCCCTCTTTGGCTCTGCATTTTTAGAGAGCCATAGACATGGGCGGGAAGAGATTATCTGGCCAGACCAGAGGCCAGAGGAGGTAAGTGCCACTGTCAGCAGTTCATGGCTGGACAAGGAAGTATTTGGGTAATGTAGAAGGAATGACAGTATATTACTGGCAGGGGAACACTGGACTTTGTTGTCATTAAAGATTTTTCATTGTCTGGGCTGACAAAGCTGCCTGTGGGTTTTTGTGGTTTGCTTTCACTAAAGAAAAGGGGAGAAAAGTCCCAGACATTCAAACTGTATGTACCTGAGTCAACATGCCCATCTTGGATGCCCTAAGAAGAATGGAGTTGGTGAGTGGGAACTCGATCTGACCAGTAAATCAACCGTGATGATTAAATAGATACGTGGTGGCTGAAAAGAAACACGAGCTGTCCCAGCCTTTGTTTCTTTGCATGCAGGCAGCTGAAGGTGTGGGCACAGGCAGGATGGCTCATCCTCCTCTGCTCTGGGAAGTCTGACGCTCTTGCCCAGAGCTGTGGGTGTTTGATTTCACTTGTGCATTGTACCAACCTGGCAGGCAAACTGCAGCACTCGCATCAAGGCACAGTATGGAAGCATCAGGCTTCATTTTGGAGCACATAATTAGTGTGCATGGCTATCTGTACCTTCGTTCCCTATCCCTGTGCATTGATAGGGGAGGTGAAAGTAGGAGTTAGTGGGGTTACCTGGCTCAGCATGGCATCACCTGCAGCTCGTGAGCTCCCTGGGAAATGCTGGGAGCAAGCTGAGACCCAGCTGGCTTTGTGCCTCACTCCTGAAGGAGCTAGGGATCCTTTTTCAAGACAGAACTTGAAAGGAAAAGGATGTGCTTATTTCTAGCTTGGTTTTGGAAGTGCAGATAAAGGTGGAATTGTGTCTCTCTCAGCTCTAAGCAAACTGCTGCTTCTCTTTTGGGCCTAAACTCAGTGAGCTGCTTTACAGCTTTGTGAAAGGTCTGGAAAATGGCCTCAATGCACAGGAACACTGGAGGGGAATCTGGTGTCTGATGCTGAGATCCTGTCACGCACAACTGCTGTGCTGTTTTGGCAGTGTGTGCAAGGCTTCTTTCAGGGGATCGTTCTAGAAGGTTGCTACCATAGCACCCTCACAGTGTCTCCACTGAGAGGGGAAGGATCCCTTCCAGGGCTTCCTTGGCACCTCTCATCTTCCACCCAAGTCCTGTGAAATACTTCCCTCTTTAGTCCTTCAGCAGGTGGCTCCTGCTGCTCCTTATCCTTCAGGATGTCAGCTCCTCTGCAGGGGTTTGTGTCTCCAAGTGGTGCAAGGGTTTGCATCTGTGGTTTCATTTGGTTACAGTCAGCTTGTAGCTTCACATGTGATAAAGGGAGCCTTTAATTAAGTTGCATCTTTTGACAGCCAGGTGGATGTGAAGCTTACTGCTCTACACTAACTTGTGTTCACTGTACAATGAAGAAGACTGATTTAGGGAGAAAATTTAAGCAATGAGTATTTGAAAAAATAAAAAACTCCTCAGTTCGAGGCATGTTTTAGGAAGGTACATGGGTGTTTGCAAAAGCAGAATGGAAGATGAGCAGAGAAAATCAGGCATGAGAGAGGGTTTGGAAAAGTGTTTGTTTAGTGCAATTTGTGCAATAAGTCTCTTAAAGCAAGAGAAGGGCAGGAGCAGAGGGAGTGGACTGAAAGTGGTTTGGCGTGAGTGACTTCTGGCACATCTTGGGTCTCTTGGAGCAGAAACAGACACTTCCCAAACCCCAGTGAGCATGGTTTGCTGTTTCCATCCAGGTCTGAGCATGCTGCTGGTTTTGGATGTCCTTGTGCATGGAAAGCTGTGCCTATGGGAACAAAACCAACTTGGAATGTCTTTATTTCCCTTCCTGCAAATACCTTGCAGTGTTTTTCCTGCCTGTCCCTGGCATCCTTTACAAAAACAACAGCGAGGTGCTCCCATGGGCCAGCACTTGTTCTAACCTGTGGCAAACAACTGGGTCCTTGTAACAAGGGGATTAAATCAGCCAAACTTTGCTAATCCTGCTCCAGGACGGCTCTGCTGTGTATCTCCTGCTCCAACCTCTAGCAGCTCACACAGAGCCTTCCATGTGTGCTTACCTTGTACCACTCTGGTGATGCTGAAATGCCCTGGGCCTTTTCAGATCTATAAACCTCACATGTCAAAATAGGGAATAGCTGAGTCTTTTCCTGGTAGTAAAGACAAATGAAATGCAGGTGGAATGATGGTGGAAGTGGTACCAGCATTTGTAGCACTAGTTTCATTTCCCAAAAGAAAATAAAAAACACTAATATGTGTGAAAGTAGGCTGTATTTCATTAAAAGCCAGTTTCAGGTATATCCAGCAGCATAAAAATAGGAAAACTGAATTGCATGTGTATAGTCAATATATTACAAAATCACTGTTATTTATGGTGCCCGGAGTGTTACATAAACACTAATTTTAACAAGTACATGGAGGGGGAGCTTCCTTGGTTTTCTCCTGCTCAGCTGAGTGTTCCACGCCCATTGAGAAATGGCAAATAGCTGCATTATCACGTAAAATACTCCAAAAAACAGAAGCTGATTGTTAGCTGGGATAAGGCACAGAAGTGTCCTCCCACCAAGGAAGCTATAAATCATTGTCATTAATTGAAAATCTGTCTCCCCTCTCAGCTGCCTGGTTTTTTTTTGGCTATCTTCACAGGCATTATCCTACTTGATTCTTGGTTTACCAAAGTTGCATTAAAGGCACACATTTCTTAAGTAAGTATGTGGGAGGCAGCATTTGCACTGGAATTTAGGAAAAAGGCTGAGCAAATGGTTAAGGCTGGACCTCCAGTGCCTGGGACAAAGTGCAGAGCAGTTTCTTGCTAGGGGAACAGAATTTTATAGGGAATTTTATAGGGAATTTATAGGGAATTTCTGTCTTGTCCCAGGTGCCAGTTTAAGGCTGTTTGTATGGGATGTGTGAATCAGGACTGAAGCCAAAGAATTTAAGGGAACTAACAAAGAAAATTTGTTTTGTTAAGAATTGAAATGCTCAAAGCAGATCTGACAAGAAGCAACTTAATCTTGTTGAGCTGTCATGGCAGATAATTTGAGTCTGACCAGGCTAATTGTGACCCATAGGTTAGATAAACTCTTTTCTTATTTTTAATAAGTTATAATTTGCATAAATAAGATATGCAATATCTTATTTGCTTTTATTTCCTGCTTCCAGCTCTAGACCTTGTTTGTGTAGGGAGGTTGGTGAGTGACAGGGACAATGAGATGCAGATTTGGCTTTGGCACAAGGTAATTGTGTGGGTAAGTTGTGTATCCTGGCAGCAGCCTGAGCTCCCTGTGTCCAGCTGGATTCTGGACGTGTGTGGAGTGCTGTAAATGCCCCATCATGTCAAAACCACTGCAGCCTTGCTCAACTGGCTTTGAGGGCTGAGCTCTCTGAGAGAGCCTGAGCTGTCTTTGAGCTCACCTCACAGCTGAGCTATTGCCTCTGAGCTTCTCTGCTGATCTCATGGGGAGGTCTGAGGTGTCCCTGTGCCCCTCAGTGCCTCCTGCCCTGGGCCATTCTGCCCCCAGAGGAGGTGACACAGCTGTAGCTGGCAGTGGCTGCATCTGACTGCCCTGCTGGAGGGGTATGTTTTCATAAACTGAGCCCACACAGTCATTGCTGGATGGACTTTTCACTGCTGGGACACTGGGGTGGGGTGGGCTGGGGGTGCTCTGGGCAAACCTGCACTGCAGTAATGCCAGCCTCTGTGTTTCTCACTAGTATGGAACTCAAAAACTTCCCTGGGTGGCAGAGCACTAAAACCATCTCCTCCCTGGCTGTGTCCT